TCAGTTCTTTATCCATTCCTCTGTCAATGGATATCTGGTCTCTTTCCATATTCTGGCTATTGGTACATTGTTTCTATAAACACTGAGGTGTACATACCCCTTCAAATCACTATGTTTGTATCTTTTGGATAAATACCTAGTAGTGTCAAAGGTTAGTTGACCCATATCGTTGAGCGTCCATTTCTGGGCTCTCTATTCTGTTCCATTGATTTAGCTGTCTGTTTTTGTGCCAATACTATATTGTCTTAATGATTACAACTTTGTAATACAGCTTGAAGTCTGGAATTGTTATGCCTTCAGCTCTGGTTTTCTTTTTCAACATACCTTTGGCTATTCAGGGTCTTTTCTGGTTCCATACAAATTTTAGGATTATTTGTTCCAGCTCTGTGAAAAATACTGATAGTATTTTGATAAGTATTATATTGAATGTGTAGATTGCTTTAGCTAGCATAGCGTTTCAACAATATTTTTTCTTCCAATCCATGAGCATGGGGTGTTTTTCCATTTTTTGTCTTCCTTAATTTCTTTCATAAGTATTCTATGGTTTTCAGAGTACGGATCCTTTACCTCTTTGGTTAGGTTTATTCCTAGGTATCTTATGGGTTTTGGTGCAGTTGTAGATGGGATCTATTCCTTGATTTCTCTTTCTACTACCTCATTATTAGTATATAGAAATGCCACTAACTTCTGTGTATTGATTTTATAACCTGTGACTTTGCTGAACTCTTGTCTCAGTTCATGTCACCTGCAAAGAGTGAAAGTTTGACTTCTTCTTTGCTGATTTGGATCCTTTTTATTTCTTTTTATTGTCTGATTACTAAGCCTCAGACTTCCAGTACTATGTTAAACAGAGGTGATGATAGTGGACATCCATGTTGTATTCCTAACCATAGGGGAAAAGTTCTCAGTTTTTCCCATTGAGGGTGATATTAGCTGTGAGCTTTTTGTAGATAGTTTTTATGATACTGAGGTATGTTCTCTCTATGCCTATACAGCAGACAGTTTTTATCAAGTGTGTTGCATTCTGTCAAATGTTTTTTCTGCACCTATTGAAAAGATCGTATGGTTCTTATCCTTCCTTTTATTAATGTGGTGATTCACATTGCTTGATTTATGAAGCTATTCCTTAGCAGCAAAGGAATAAATCCCATTTGGTCATGGTGAATAATCTTTTAATGAATTGTTGGATCCAATTAGCTAGTATCTTAGTGAGAATTTTTGCATCCATGTTCATCAGGGATATTGGTCTGTAATTCACCTTTTTAGTGGGGTCTTTGTCTGGTTTTGGGATCAAGGTATTGTTGGCCTCACAGAAAGAGTTTGAAGTATTCCTTCCTTGTCTAGTTTTTGAAACAGTTTCAGGAGAATAGGTATTAATTTTTCTTTAAATGTTTGATAGAATTCCTCTGGGAAGCCATCCAGCCCTGGACTCCTATTATTTGGAGGATTTTTTTAAGGTTTTTATTTATTTATTTATTTGACAGACAGAGATCACAAGTAGGCAGAGAGGCACGTAGAGAGAGAGGAAGCATGCTCCCCGCTGAGCAGAAAGCCCAATGTGGGGTCTGATCCCAGGATCCTGAGATCATGACCTGAGCCAAAGGCAGAGGCTTTACCCCACTGAGCCACCCAGGTGCCCCATATTTGGGGAATTTTTGATTACTCCTTCAATTTTCTTCCTGGTATGGGTCTGTTCAGGTTTTCTATTTCTTCCTCTTCCAGTTTTGGTAGTTTATAAATTTCTAGGAATACATACATTCTTCCAGATTGCTTAATTTGATGGCATATATTTGCTCATAATACTTTCTTTTAATTGTATTTCTTTCATTCATGATATTATTTATTTGGGTCCCTTCTCTTTTTTTTTTTTAAGTTTGGCTAGGGGTTTATCAATCTTATTAATTCTTTCAAAGAACCACCTCCTAGTTTTGTTCATCTATTCTACTGGTTTGTTGTTTTGGTTTGGTTTGGTTTTGGTTTTGTTTACTTTTATATCATTGATTTCTGCTCTAATCTTTATTAAATCTCTTCTCCTGCTTTATTGTCTGTTCTTTTTCTATCTCCTTTAGGTTTAAGGTTAGAATTGTATATTTGAGACTTTTCTTGTTTCTTGAGAAAGGCCTGTATTGCCATACACCTCCCTCTTAAGACCATCTTTGCTGCATCGCAGAGGTTCTGAACTATCATGTTTTCATTTTCATTTGCTTCCATGCATTTTTTTAAATTCTTCTTTAATTTCTTTGTTGACCCATTCATTCTTTAATAGAATGTTCTTTAACCTTGAAGGTATTTTTAGTACTAAATTGTTGGAATGACTCAGTGGCCAAAAGGGAGAAGGATGAAGGGGATCTTAGAGAAGCAAAAAAGAATGAAGAAGTTATTCCAACCATAGGCTGAAGCTGATAATTCTACATTGGCTGCTGTGCTGCTGGGGCACCAGGCACAGGACCACTGAGGAGAGGAATCGCAGTGATGCCATGACTGCCGAAAAAGTGCCGCACTACTCCTGCAATAATCAGAATGGGGATGCAGTGTCCTCACCACTGCCTCCCTGCCTCCCCTTCCTCCCCCTCCTCTTCTTTTTCTCCCTGTCCTTCTTATTCTTATTCATACACTTAAACAGACCACTTCTTCCAACTGGCTAAATGTAACCAAAAGCCTATTAGCAAAAGAATCTGGGAGATGTCCTATGCAGTCTTCTAGCCCAAACAATGTAAAATAAAGGACATAAGGGTGAATGTAGGGTTTGTAAATGTGACAATCCTGGGTCAAGAAAAGAAGTTTTCCAGACCTTGGAAACCTTGGTCTGTACATGCCCTGCAGAGTTGCTTAGCTTAAAGGGTGGATCTCTCGCATTCACTGCCCCCAGTAAATATATAGACATGTAGGCAAAGGACAGATGTGGTTTCTGTAACTCTACTCCAAGGCAAAATATTGTAATTTGGGGCTCTAGAGGCCTGTGAGTTTTTCTTCAAACTCTTGGAACTTTAGAACTTACCAGACAGCCTTCTGAAAGAGGTTGTTTAAGGCTTTCTCTTACTTTTTGTACCTGTCTTACACACTTTACAGTGCTTCTCTTCCCACCTAGGCAGTGCCCTCTGCAGGCCTCTCCTGGCTCTTCCATTCATCCAGCAAATTCACCTAAGGTTTTATTCTTTATTTTTTATTTGTTTGTTTACTAAAGGAAATTTGGCTGAAACAATTTTGCCTAATAATCACCTGCACTAACAAAACATTTGCTGAATATCTATTATTATTTAATTTCAGAATTTCATGTAAGATAGACCTATTCCAGCTCTTTCAGTATTTTGCCCTATTTTATTTTGTTTTTTATCATTTAATTTATCTTAGATTTTATTTTTTCTTTTTTAATCTAAATTTAGTTAGCCAACATATATTACATCATTAGTTTCAGATGTAGAGTTCAGTTACTCATCAGTTGCTTACGATACCCAGTGCTCATCACATTACATGCCC